AAATAAATAAAAAATGTTCCTCTTTTCTTTTTCTCCTTTCTTGGCATACCACAACACTGATGTCAGAGTTTAAAAAACAAATCTGTTGTAGTGCCAAGAAAAATAATTATTAGTATATCTGAGTACACAAAGCTATAATTCTGAATATCGATATAAAATGTGTTTGTTTCTATTTGGGCTCTTTTTCAAACCTTCAATGTACATCTCTAATCCACCCAATTCCCAAAGTAATATTTTTATATCGTGATTAAGCATATAATTCTGTCGTTTTCTTTTTTTAAGCCACATAGACTGTATTCTCTCCCTCCAACTCCACCAGAGGCAGAGCAGAATGATCATCAACGGCAAAGACAGCTATCTAAGAGCAGCACTCGAGCCAGCTTCATGCTCAGGAAAGAGCACTGCATCTCCTCCTCATGCTTCCTGGTACTCTACACAGAGAAACTTCTCTAGTGGCAAACTATAGAAATGATCCCTGAAAGTGTAGTTTTATAATTCTGTTATTTTCTGAATATTCAATTTCTTTAGTAATCAGAGCATGTTCAAGAGAAAAGATTGAGCTATCAAAATTAAACAGAAAAACACACTATTAGAGTTAGCTTCAAAGAATTGGTTTCTGTCTGGTCCCCGCCTTATCCTAGCTGTCTGTAATTATAATCCTGTTAGCCTACAGGTTTTCTTACCTAACCAGGCCTCATAGCTAGGTGATGATATTTGGAGTGACTTTTCTTATTTACAAGTAGGAAATGATGTATGTGTGTCCATATGTTATATGGATATAAGTATATGTATGTTCTGTATATATTATATAGACATATGTGTCATGTATGTGCAGTTAGCCCTTTATCTATGAATTCCACATTCCTGATTCAACTAACCTCAGATCAAGAATATTCTGAAAAAAAAAAACTCATCTGAACTGAATATGTCCATGCTCTTTCTTTCATTCCCTAATAATACAGTGCAACAACAATCTATTTAGCAGTCATACTATATTAGTTATTAAAAATAATCTAGAGATGGTTTAACTATACAGGTAAATGTGTGTAAGTTATATGCAGTAATGATGCCATTTCATAGCAGGGAGTTTAGCAAGCAGGATTTGGGTATTTACAAACATCCTAGCAGCAATCCCCCGGATATACTGAGGGATGAGTGTACGTGTATACACGTAGTTTGGTGTTTTGGTCTTGTCACTAGGTTGAAAAATTAGCCCTCAGTTGTAGCAGATGAGTAGAGGAAGTACCTTATCTCTAACTGCGTGTGATGAGAAGCTACACGGCTTCTCGAGAGCCTTTTCCTAGAATATGGGTACTGTCAGGTGCTGCATTCTGTACCAGTCTTATAAACCCTATGTTGGCCTCATCCCTAACTTCTCATAGCTCTTTAATTACATGCCACCAGGTGTGGTGGTTGATGTTTGTCACCCTTTGCAGGGCAGAGGCAACACAAGTTAGGGGCTGACTGGCCTATATAATGAATTTCAAGCCTGCCTAGGCTATTCTTAGCATGGCCCTGTCCAAAAACAGCAAGCAAGCAAGCAAACAAATAAATAAAAGGCCCACAAAAGAAACAAATAAAAAGGCCAAACAAAACAAAACATAAAAGTTCCCCAAACTAAGCCATATTTTTACACTGGGACTTGCAAGTTTCAGCTGCAAACTCTGTAAGCAGATCCCTCTCAAACGCAGACTGGAGCCTTTTCCTATGCTAACTATATTGTAGACTTGAACTTGAATTTCCACCCCAGTGTAGACTATTATAGGGGGCTCTAGTGCTTCCTTCCTGACATTTCTCTGATTTCTTTTTCTACTATTTCTGATTCACCAACAGCTCACAGAAAGTCTTTCAATTACTGCAATATACTTCTGAAAACTGGTGAAGCTCAACTCCAATAAACAAAAAATCAGTCACTTTAGATGAGCAAAACCCAGGAGTGGAATTTATTATAAAGTTTCAGGACACAGCTATCACAGGTGCAGACGTCTGAGTCTGTGGAGTCATACATGGTGCTCTCTTTGCTTGTTAACAGGAAGCTACAAGGAAACTACAGACATTTTTTTCCATTTGAACTTCCTCTGATGTAATCATCTTCCATTATGGTGACAACTTCACAGCAGAAACTTGGTTTCATTTTTTTATACTCTTCAAAATGATATCATTAAAAACTCCTCTGAAGGGATGAGATGAAGCCACAGAAATTTACAAGGCTCTGTCTAGCTCTGAACCCTTTGCCCCTCAGTCAATGCAGGTTGAAATTAGCCCCTGGGATCAATAGTTATTACAGAAGGTGGACAGGCCAACAAGGCAAATGATTTTTATAAGGTTTCTTTCCTGAAGATACTCTAATAAAAACAAATTTGTTTTCACCCCGACATACACTTATGGGAATTCCAGAATGTTAGCTACTTGATGAATCCCACCACTGAGAAAGACTGGGATGATCCTAATATACCATAAAAGGAATTGTGTGTTTGGTCCAGGTACATTTTCTTGTTTTAATTGCAGTTGGCACATCCTACTTTGTGCTGTCCACTATGAAACTACTTTGCCTCTCTTATTTGGAAAAATAGCTTCTTGGAGAAGTATTTAAATAATTTTAATTTTCTTTTCTTTGCTTCAAATATATGAATATGCAATGAATAAGTGACCACATTTGCATGACCTTATCAGTGAGTCCTATTACAACATTAGCATTTTTATTATTAGCATAATATTAGAAATATTAGCATATATCTAATTTTTCTTCAATAAACTTGTTCTTTTCATAATAAAAATTTTAGTAACTAAAGGACTTTCATATTTAGGTACATATATTTTAGATAATTTTTAAATCTGTCAAAAACTGTAAAATGAATGAAATTAACATAAATAAGTCACTTATTTCCTTTAGTTGAAGACATCGAAACATTATTAAATCATTCGTCGTACATCTTAGGGCAAGTCATTTTTATGATGCCAGGTGCTAAAATCAAACATGGCTCCAGTGAAGACAGAGAAATCTTAAAAGTTCCATAGTGTTGTACAATAGCTCTTGGTTAAATTCAGATGTAAAAAGATACAAGAAATATAGAGAGAAGAGGAAAGGCATGTGCAAAAGAAAAGCAGGGCTCTCTAAAATGAGTGTCTGAAAGAATTAAGACCATGAGTGCACATTTGCTAAAGTTCCTCATGTCTGCTGCTTCGAGCACCACACTGGGAACAAGATCAAGGACTCGAAGACTCTATGACCAAAGGCCTATAGTGATGGCAACTGGCTACCACTCACTGTCATTGTGAGCTCAAATTTGTGTGAAGGAGAACTGTTCACTTGGAGACAGTAAAGACAGCATGGGTGCTTCTGATGGTTATATAATAAAAATGCAGGTAAGACAATGCAATCATTTTTAATTAATAATAAAAAGTATTAGCAAATGGGAGAATTACTGGAACACAAAAGGAGGGAGAATGTTCCTTCTGATTTTCTGAAGAAACCTTAGTATCCTATTCCTTGAAAATCTTTTTTTTTTTTTTTTTTTTTTTTTTTTTTTGTCTTTTTGAAGCAGGGTCTCCCTGTAGCCCCAGCTGTCCTGGAACTCACTATGTAGACCAGGCTGGCCTTGCACTCACAGAGATCCACCTGCCTCTGCCGTTGCAGTTCTGGGACTACAGGCATGCGCCACCACGCCCAGCTTCCTTGAAAATCTTTTAAGTATAAGACTATTCAACAGCACTCAACATTACAGGGACGCTCATTTCCTCCACAGCTGTGCCCCTCCTTTTGCCGTGTGGCAGAAGCTCTTCAGCTGAAGGGTAGCATGTAGCTGCCATGGATGGATGCTGCTATGCCATTCTCCTCTGTGTCCATTCTTCAACTCTCAGAGACACGTGGAAAATAAATTATACAGCTTCCAGCTCATGTTTATTTCAGCCAACATCCCACAAGAGTTATAATTTCAGGTAAGGATGTCTATTTTGCACATAGAGATGTCAGGACTTTTGGGTCTGCTAATAGAAAGTCTTTGGCTGTAGTCTGCATCTGAACTGACTGAGCGCTTCCTTACAGTTTGAATCTGAAATGTTCCCCTCAGTCTCGTACTTTTAATGCTGGTGCACCAGCTAGTGCTCTATTTCAAGAGGCTGTAGAAGCTTCAGGCGTTAGGACATGATTGGCAGTGGGACAGTTGGAGCAGGCCACGGAAGGTTATACCCCTCCACCCCAGTTCCTGCCTTACTGTCTGCTTCCTGGTCTACCACCATGTGAACAGCCTCTTCCACATACTCCTGTCACCATGGTCTGCACCTCTGCTTTGCCTTCCCCACTATTTTAGAATGGAACTCTGAAACTGTGAGCCAAAATAAATCTTTCCTCCATTAAGCTGCCTTTATCAGGTATTGTGGTGACACACAAGCAAGTAACTGCATCAAGTAACAAGTGACTATCTCAGAAAGAGATTTCTGTGAAAATAATTATTCTGATAATATAATTAATAATACATTATGTTAATATTAATAACATAACTCATATAATTTCTGATAAAATCTTATGTGTGCTTCATAGGCCTTTAGGAGGAATACAGAAATGTTCAGCAACATAGGCTAGAGAAGCCATAGAGTGATGTAATCAGACCTTAGTGCATGATTCAGAACAGAACTGTGATAGAAGTGTAAACTGTAAAGACTGCTTGTGAGGTTTCAGATAAAACAAGGATTCTATTGGTAATTGGACTAAAGGCCACTGTGGCACTATGGCACTGTAGCAAAGACTATGTCTCCAAAGATACGTTTCTGTTATCCCGTGTCCTGAATACTACAGTAAGGCTAAATTTAAAAAGCAGTGTATGAATTAGTTTGGAGGAAGAAATTTTAAGAGAGCATAACCTTCAGACTGTGGCATCAGTATCACTTTTAGCCAGGTTTACAATGACAGTCAGGAACAAACGCATAGATGAAACATTTAAAAACAGGCAATTTGGCCAGAAAAGGAGTGTGAACTCACTCATTTAAAGTTGCAGACAAGGCAAATGTGGACAGAGCCACAGTAGTTGTTAAAAAGATTAACACCATTAAAAGCTGAGACATTAGGAAAGATGTCTTGAACATAAGGCCTCACTCACAGAAGGCTCCAAGGAGTAAAACTGAAGACCATTTGGAAGACTTTTATTTGAAAAGAGAGCATCTCCGGGTGTGCTACTGGAATACAGAGCTACATGGGAAAAAATGTTCCTGGGTTCATCATCTAAGGCACTCTAAGGTCACTGAAGTCATGATCCGAGGGGGTGTGGCTACTTCTTTAACTGGCTGTAGAACTTGGCACCATCCACTTGATACCAGTCTTGCAGGCATGCAGAGTAGAAGTATATGGGATGAGGAGACTTAGGCACAGTCTTATTTAATTAATCTTTTGTTTTTTGGCCTCCTACCCCTTTACCCTCTTTTGTTTCTATCCTACTCTCACTGATTTCCTTCCTCTTCCCAACCAGTTCCCCTTCTGTTTTCATGTCTTTATGTA